GGAGCAAAATTTTAAGAAGCAGCTCTTATTCTTTTCACGTCTTCGGTGTATGCGTGCGCGTCTGCGCGCTCGCGCGTGTGTTTGTGTGCTTGTGTGTTTGTGTGTGTATGAACTCCACCCACCAATCATCCCATGTGAAATCGTAGGCTTTTAAAGATAAAAAGGTCACTCTTACACGATATCCTCGGCGAATTTAATCGTCGTGGTTATCGATGCATCCATCCACTCGCAATTTTTGAATACGACGTGGGCAAAGTCGATCGTCCTGACGATGCATTGGGCAAGTAACGGAGGTACGAAGGTCGAGCTCCCGCGAGCAATTAGAATCTCGGCGGAATGCAGTAGGAAGAAGAAAAATCGAGGCCGCCTCTGTGTGAGCAGTCCGCGATTTCTCGCGGCCGCATTTACACGCGACTGGATTTTTCGGGCAAGAGGCGGAAAAGGAGGAAAGGAAAGAAAGGGAGGCGCGCACGACGACATTAAACGAGGTCTGGCGCTCGCTTGCGCTTTCTAATCATATGAAACGAACTTTCGTTTTCACTGTTCGGCCGAGAGCCTTTTACATGCTAAAGCTTAATGCGTGCGTCGACGTGAATGCCCATTGTTCCCTATTCGATTAACCGTTAGATCTCACCTCGCGGTCAGTAGACGAATGCGCGCACACTAACGCACAGGCGAACTTATACGCATGCACGCACGTTTACGAGTTATCGATTATATTATCCCATCTGCCGTCTATGTCTTGGTTATTACCCATTCTTTATTACCATATCGGTCTTTAGTTTTCAAAAAAAGAAAAAAAAGAAAAAAGTTTCATTTTCATGATGCTTCAAGTGAAAATGAAAATTGATGATACAGTCGATTCATAAAAGAAAGTAAATAATAATCACTAAATATAATAAAATTCATGCTTAGATTTAAGATAGCCTAAGAATTTTAAGTCATATTTTTTATTAAATAGCTAAAGTAGCGAAACTATACGATCTACTTTTGTACATAAGATTTTCTGCACATACGATTAAATTAAATGCTTTATTAATATTTCGAGCTCTAATATTGACTATTTGCTGAATTTTTCATATTTTATATATTTTTCTTGTTATATTAAATTCAGAAGAATCATTATTTATACTTTTGTTGTTCTAATTTATAGATAAAACGAATACATTTTTCACAAAAATTGACTATCAGCTTATAAAGTCATTTCTATATTCAAATACTTGATTTTTAATAATGCATAGTAAAATACATTTTTTAACATAAATTCACACTATATTATACTTACACATAATTAAATATAGAAAAAAAATTTTATTTTGCTATTTTCAATGAACAGATCATTTTAATTTGTTTCCACACACGCGCACACCCACGCACACACACATATATTTGTGTAAGCGTATATGTATGTGTGTATATATGTGCGTGTGTGCGTGTGCGTGTGCGTGTGCGTGTGCGTGTGTGTACGTGTGTGTGCGTGCGTGCATGCGTGTATGTATATCGGATTATCGTATTAAGCCAATATAAGCTGCTGAAATTATTTAAAAACTTGTCATCGACAAATTCATTTCTAAATATGTAGCTGTTATTGAATAAAATTAATTGTACTAAAAATGATTTATTTTTAATTATGGATTTGTCTGTATAAATAATCACTAATAACTATTTTCATCTATTTGAAACACCTCAGAATTTTATATATTATTTTTCGATCATTTAATCATAAATTTTCTTCATACGAAGCATAGTTGCACGTAATTTCTTTTTTAACTGTTGCGTTTGTCAATTCGCGAAATAATAATTCATTCATTCTAGATAAAATTTTTATAAGAAATAGCTTTCATAATATTTGCCTAGTTTTAATCTTATATTATCTTATGAAGAGATCGTGGTTTCTAAAAAATTATTTTCACTTAATTAGCTGTATCTTGTCCGAGTAGAATTAATGTAACAGCAGGAGCTCGTAGTTACGTGATATTCTTTATTTTCTATAAGCAATCGTTTTACTTTTCCATTCAAATTGATTATATATAATGCTGCCAAGCCTCCAAGTAAAACTAAATCGAGAGATTGTTTGCTTTAGTAATATATTGCCGATCCGTTTATTAGAATGTTTTATTTTAAAGAGAGAAAAGATGGACAAAAAAAAAGAGAAAAAAAAAAAGAACTATTATATAGAAGGAGAGCGAGAGGAAGTCAGTGAGCGAAAAGTAGTGAGAGTAGGAGAGAGCTTAAGTAAATAGATATGTCTAAAAGTATTGAGCTAAATTCAGAATAACTCTATCTTATACAGAAATGAATTTAAAAATTTAAATATTTTAGATTTGTTATCTCGGTAAATAAGTTATAATTTTTTATTTTTTTAGTATTAAAAGTAAATTTATGGTTATACTTTTGCTTCAGTGCTTTATAATATAGTATTTAATATTTAATATGTAGTAACGAAAAAAATAATATATTAATAGGATAACATTAACTTTTTCTAATGTTTGTATATATTTATTGTAAATTGAAGAGATATTTCTACAAACAGTTACAATATAATTGTATAGAATTAATATTAATGCAGTTGCTTCATATGTTGTACATGTAATTACTGAATTATTAACAGGATTGGTAATAATAATGAAATTAATCAAATTCGGAATTCGGTTTGAGAATTATTGTTGAATTTAAAATGAAAAATTCCATTTGCTACTACGGCAAACATGAATTTATACGATGAAATTATAAGTGTAATTATTAATATTATGGTATGTTGATATCAATTATAATAAATAATTAAATTGTGCGAATAGGTTCATGATTCGAACGTGTAAACGATGTTCTAATTCATTGTTTTTTAAACAATTGATAATTATTTCACGGTTTATATGCAAACGCCAAACATTGTAGTATGGTTTTCATATTAATTTTTCGAATATTCAAAAGAATCTATAAATAACTGCATGTAGAGAAATATTTATTCAAATACAAAGATAAAATTAATTCGTATTCTTATTTCAATATTGCTTTCACAATTTTTGCTTATTATTCAATTGCAAAATATTTAACGAAAATAATGTTTGAAATTTATGCGTATTATAAACAACTTTATATTTTGTTTAACTATCTTCAATGGCTTACACATAATTATTTATAACAATTTATTAGCAATACGTTAATGCTTTATATAATTCTGAATAAAAATATTACGTTATCAAAATAAACAAAGATACATTGTAATAAGCTATAACATATATTATTATTTAAATGTAAATATGCTTTGACACTTTCATTTTCAATAGAAAAGTGAGATTTCCTTTTTAACAGTTATTTGTTAACATAATATTAATACATTTGTATGCAATTTAGTATTTATTTTAGTCATAGAGTAATACATTTATATTATGACAATTATATTCCTATTTGAAACAATTAGTTTGTTAATTATTATATATAATAATATTTTCATTTAAATATGAAACAATAGTTTTTCATAATACTTATTACATTTGACGAGTGTTGACATTAATATAGCAGAATAAATAAACAGTGGCTCATCTCTCATTTATATATATATATATATATATATTTTATTTTTTTTTGATTCATTATTATTATTTTTAATTTTCTATTTTATACATATTTTAAATATAAGTATATAAGTTATGACTTAATTATGAAGTAAATGCGCATAAAATTGTTGAAAAGAGTTTGCAACGGCTTTTCATCTTTGTTAAAATTGTGATGATATTCTTAAAGAATTAAAACGAAGCTCATCGCAGAGTGCTTTATTTCTGTTTTAATGACAAATGTTGTTATTGTATTTAAATAATTAATGATAAAAGAAAATTCATCGATAAAGACTAGCGCACGAGCGCGTACGC